TGAGCTGCGATTGAACCCCTGGCCCCTATGCCTACTTGCAGACACTTTAATCTGATGAGCTATTTAACCAGCCCTTGTGGTTGGATTCTTTAAACACAGTTATTCACAGCAAACTTCTCAGAATGCTTTTCCATCTTTGTCATCAGAGATTGCTGAGGAAAAACAAGCTAATTGCAATCATAGACCAAGTGACAGATGAAATGATTAGCAAGGTAAATCACTTCATGAAGGATGAGCAATGCATTCTCCTTTAAATATAAATGATCTGTAGTTACCTTTTGCTAGATCAAAGTTGAGAGTGTCTCATCCTTGTGTACCAGGGATCTCCCCACGACAACTCTGCTATCCACTGAGCACCTGCATTCTGATTTATCTTATTTCATCTTCACCACCATTACTCAAGATACATTCTAGGTCCACCTAATATATTAGGAAAAAGATCCTCTGTGAGATTTGGAAAGCAGACTGAAGACACAGAAGTAGTAAAATGTACAACCAGGATTCAAATCCAAGGCTGCGGATACCATCGTTTATGTACTTTCAATTCTGTCCCAACACACTACAATGATTTAGTTTTTCCACAGTGTGATGATGACTTCTTTATTAAAAGCAAAAGATTTATAAGTTCTGAAAAGAAACCAGAGCATGGATGTTAACTTCTTTTTTTTTTTTTTTTTTTTTTTTGTGGATGTTAACTTCTTAATAAGAAATATGCAACAGGTATTTTCCTATCAGCTACATACTGATTCCTGCTCAAATGGAGATTGCAGCCTCAAATCATAAAAAGGTGTGAGAAATTTGTGAACACACTGCATTTGTAAAATACATATTACTTGAAAAACAAATGGAAAACCAAAGAGCTAGATTTTTTGTACTGTTTTTTTCTTCAGGAAAATAACTGAATTGTTTCCTAGTCATTTCATTGGGGACTTCCTCTACCTCAGGGAATCGAAGGCTTTCCAGCCCAGGTAGACCAGCTGCCTTCATGGGATCGTCAGTATCTCATTAGCTTCTTTAGAGTTTCTCCAACCTCTGTCTAGAGCACAGTTTCCATTCTGAGAAGGGTGGGAGTGGTGGCACTCAGAGGAAGACACAACCTCATCCAACAGTGGGAATTAAATCACCAGCCTTCAAGTACTTTATATCAAAAAGCATCAAAAGGAAGGCTTCCAAGGCCCTAGCTTGCCTTCTTTGGAGGGTCTGGCTTCACTTCTTTCTTTCCTTCCTTGGCTTGCTGCACCCCATTTTCTACACAGGACCTTACTTGCTTTCTTGCCTAACTATGTACAGTGTCAGACTTGTTCAGATACTGAGAGAAACAAAGTCAGGGTATATCCAGCAGGCTCCAGGCCCCACCCTGGCACTGGCTCTTCTCAGAAGCTGGCAAGCTCACCCTGTAGTGATTGGCAAAACCTACACAAACTGTGATGTGTTTCTTTTTTTAAAAATTAGAAAATTGTTTATGGAGACTGACGGAGGCTGAGACTGCTCTTTCTGCTCAATGCGTCAAAAGACTGAAGTCATCTTCTTTTAGAGCTGTTGCTACCCCACTCATGTTTGTCTTTAGTCTGTACATGATATAAATTAAGCACCACTCATCCAAAATCCAAGTTGGAAATGCTCCATAATCCAAAAGTTTCTTTGTTATAGGCATGAAGCTGCAAGTAGAAAATCCCAAACATGACCACATAAGACAACAAGTCAGACTTAAAATATGAGTACATTAAACATGATATCAAATTATCTTGAGGCTATGCATAGAGCATGTACATGAAACAAATGGTATTGCATCTTTAGAGTTGGGTCCCACCTCTAAGATATTTTGTTATTAAAACAAATACAAAATCTGACACAATTCTGATCCCAAGCATTTCAGATATGGGATATTGCAAAAGGCCACAGTGCAGGCCCCTCCCCCACCACACTCACTGCAGGCCTGAGCACAGGGCTCTGAAGCCAGTGTCTCTGGCCCATTTACGGATTTCCTTCTGCCTCCCTCAGTCGCCATGTCTATCACATGGAGGATATTAATTATCCCCATTGCATAGAGTTGCTTTGAGAAAGGATCCATGTAAGATGCATAGCTCAGTTATGTAGCATTTGTATGAGTTCAATAAATGGCTGCTGCTAGTGTTATTCCCAAATGGCTTTTTCCACAGTCTGCCTTGGCAGGAGGCCTGAGAATCATGATGTTTTGATTTAAATGAAAGTCCAATAATTACTGAGGCTTTCTGTGAAAGTTTGAAAAGCATCCACAAGTTGCCAATGAATGAAACCAAACTTTCTCCTTTGACCCTCAGAGGCTTCCTTCCCCCAGGGGCCACACTCACACAGAGGTGAATGACTTTAGTTCTGTGAAAGCCAATTCTCCACCTGCTTTGCCTCTTGGAAGCTCTTTATAATGATAGCATTGTCTTTCATGCTTTGACTGAAAGTAGTGGCAAAATTGTATAAATGTCCTTACTGCCATAGTGCTATGAACACTGGTGATGCTTTTCATTTTTCTTGCTAAACTCTATCCCAGTACTGCTACAGGAAATGAAGAAGAGCTAGAACCCAAAGATGCCGAGCTCTGCCCTTCACACTCTTATCTGTCTATGACACAATGGCGATGGCCTCTGTCCTCCCTAGCATCCTTTCTTCATGTAGTGGAAGGATATTCTTTTCCCTTCCCTGGCCTGGTTCATCCCACAAACAAGGAAAAGGGAGACTGACATTTGAAAAAGTAGGACAAGGTGGGAATGTTTTCTCAGTAAAACACCCAAGATAGTCTTTGAGCCAACACTCAAGTGCTTTGTAGGGCAGTAATGACTGAAGCAAAGACTGAACTAAAGCAGAAGCAGCCAGGGCTGACAAGATGCTGCAGGCAGTCCAAGGCAGCCACCTCAGGGTGGGGGAAGCTCGGCAGAGAAAGTAACAGCGAGAAGGAAACGAGCTGGTGAGGCACCGCGAACTCTGCACTGTCTGGGTGCCGCAGAATCTCAACCCATATGAGTGCACAGATTTCCATGCGTCGCAGATCTTCTCCGTGAAACTCTTGCCAGGCATCCTGGTAGGGTCTGAAAAAGCTCCTTGGCAAGTACTTCAGTTAAAGAACCTTAATTTCCCACAAAAGCCAGGAGACTAAAGAAGAACAGTTTAAAGACTTAAGAACCAAACAACTGGGAAATGTGAGTCTTTTCACATCTCTACCTAAGCAGCCTTATAAAGGAGGCTCTTACCTGCTGGTAAGACCAGTCAACATCTGGACAGAAGCAGTGAGGCTTAATTTTATTGAGAGGACACTGTTGTCAAACCTTCACAGAGAAAAATTATTCCTGTACTTTTTTTTTCCTATAATGGAATACATCCTATATAGATGCCCAGTGTTTATTTTTTTTAAAATGAAATAGGTATTTATTTATTAAAGTGGCATCTGTAGATACTAACATCTAAATACTTTTAATACAAGTTTTACCTATCCTATGAGTCTAATTGTCACAGACCTCTAAGCTCACTGTAAGTCCTTCAAATCGTTCACCAGAATTCAGTTTATCCTGACAAAGCTCCCTGGGCAGTCTTCTCAACTATTTGTTTCATTACAAAGTTCCATTTATTTAAACAATTGCCAAATGTAAGT